TAGCAGCCGCGGGCACACCTAGTGTCAACTCATCGACAATTGATATTGAGTCGTCGGAGTTGGCGTTGGCGTTGGCGTTGTAGGCGGAGCGACAAAGTGTCATGGTGCGGCGACGGAGAAATGCCTCTCGTCGAGGAGGGTTAGAGTTGAACGTCGTTGGCAGAATGTGTGCATGCAGTGGCCTCGTGGCGTGCAGGCACGCGAGCCACCTTGTAATGGTGAAGTATTGAGTGAGGTAGTTAGGCACGACGTGAGTGTGATGTAGCGAGAAAGGTTTGTAACCGCCTGAGAGACGAAGAGACTACAGGAGGGATGAAGGAGCAGGAGCATCAGGATTCCGATTTGGAGGGTAGTGTGCGTGCATGTGGTACACTGATTGGACACGTACTTTTTCATGATTTCCAGTCATAAATGTTACACCATTGAACAGCGTATGTGAACACAAAGACCCTACTCGTTGCCGTCATTTAATGTAGATGCAGACTCCATCTTACTACAACCAACTGCGATAACATCAATCGTGTCCACTAACCTCGACTTCACACGCTTCAATTTTATTCGTGCGTTTCGCCCAGTGGACTGCGAATTTGGCCACAACGAATGCTGGTGACCGGACACGAGAATGTACTTTTACAAGTCTAGATGTATTTTAATCCACGACACAATCTCCTATTGCTGCCACCAATCTTTTCACCCCTTTCCAACCTTAAGGCCTTATAAATTTATGAGAGCAAGGCACGCTAGCATATTTCCAATAGAAAACCAACATTGAGACGCCTTCGCCTTGACTGTTGTGATTCACATTAAGCGCCAAAAACAGAGTAGGGAGAAGTTGCTGCGGTAAAGATTACTGCATCAACGAGATTAAATGGTAAAATTCAAGTGCACAAAATCAAAATTCCCTGTAATCTGTTTATAATTTTAAAATTAAATTACAAATATTAAGTCAACACTTAGCAGACGAAAATTACGATCTTCGTAAAGCAAGATCTGATTTTATCTGAAAGCTGTGCATGTACCTACAGTGAATGATTCGTGTTGAGTAACTAAGGTTGTAGCGTGAAATCGAACATTCAATAATTTTGTTGACAACTGGAATATACCACCATAAAAAGCGCGAATACCTGATGTGAATATATCAAAATGTGGAATGAGAGTTGTGAACTCTAAGAGACAGGGTTCATCTACGCCCTTCCAACTCCCTAATACACCAAAGTTTGTATTAACAATTGCTAATTTTAAAGCACACCATTGACGCAGAAAGCTTTATCATCAGACAAACTGTCGAAAAAGGTCACTTAGCAGTTGCCAATGCAGAGAAATTTTGCTTGTACCTGATTTAAGTGAAGACTAAGGGCAGCAGGTATGAGATCCATCGTTAGAAACAGTGTGAGCTTTTCATCCATATGATCTTTTACGTCACCGGTGGTCCTTTCATTTTGTTACGTTTGCCCGTAACAATAGAGAATACCACTCAAATAACGGTACCAGATACCTTGCTGAAGCTAGAACCGACATTCCCAGGCTAATACCAGAACAAGACCAGAGCTCGAGTAGAGAGCTTTATTCACGCCAGCCACGTGCTGAGAAGTCGTGAAATCGAAAGTAATTTGAAAACTATCTCAAGTCAAGGTTGACCCTGGCTTGATAAAAGCGCAACAAAACAAATGTTAATAAATTAATGTAAATAAAATCAGAAACCAATCTTGGGGAATCGTGGATCCCCAACACATTCGCACTTTGATGAACCAAATAAGGCATTCAATTTCGTCTAGTGTCACAAACCCATAAACGGTGAATCATGTCAGAAGAAACTGACAACAATTGCCTTGGATCAGTCTGTTTACATGGGGAGTAAACGCGCATCCGCACATTACGCTTATCGGACCAAGAATGACGTGAAATGACCAGCACTCTGTAGCATGCTGGAACTGTCTCCAAATATCTACAACAGAATGGTGGTAGAACCAGCATGTGATATGTTGGTTGTCAAAGGGTCATGATTAGTCAGGTGTTTTTGAACAACTTGAAACCTGCTTGAGACACACTAGTGACTATCGATGCTTACACATAAATATAGATTTTGAACCTTGTGTCTGCTGAAGAGCATCAGTAGACTATCTGGGAATTGCATTTTGCAGGTCACTTCTACATTCATAAGTAATTTTTGAGCAATTAGTTTAGCCTGCATGAACTTTGAAAAAAAAATTGTGATCAATGTAAAATTCTGCAAAACGTCTATTAACTGTGTATTTTTGTGCAGTCAAAAAATTAAAAAAAGAAACATTGATTTTGTTCTCCTAACCTCGAATAGTTTCCCTTGGCGATATACTAATTGCAATTCAAGTTAGAAGAACAATTATCTACCAGTTATTAATTGACAAATATACCTTGCATTTAAAATATTCGCACACTAACATGAAATATATAGAGAGTAGAAAAGGTGCAGTCTAGGCCTAGCAATTTTAAATAAAATACACGCTAATATTTAGACAATGTATTTTGGTGTTAGAAGCAATTTAGGCCGCTGAACTAATATGGCAAGATTGCAAACAATTTAAAATGAAAAAAAGAAACTATAAATGCTGTGGCACAGATATCAAAATTTAGCCGCGCAGCAGGACTTTGTTAAGTTTTTGCACATTCAGTTGAGAAGTAATCTTGGAGAGTAGCTAAATTTGTCAGTTGAAATAAGTTGCGACAAAGAAGTTATAGGAAGGAGGAGGTGCAGTCTAAACATACATTTGTATATAACATACATGTCAACGAAAGAATTTTGACTTTTCCTACTACTTGACGAAAACCGTTTGACGAATTTATTACACATCTTCATTTTATTTACTAAATGCTGCTTCTGTCAACTTAACCAAATGCAACAGAACATAAGCAAGTCTGTAAGCATTAATGTATATAAGTTTAATGCATGACATATTAGATGTACGAGAGTTAAATACTCGGAATTAAATCATTGGGCCAACGACTATTTGTCAGGTCTAATTTCTATCACCTGTAATTGTACGCGCTAGTTTGAAATTCAACCTTGAAGGCGTTGGAAGTCGCAGCAGAGGTTTTTTTGTTAGATGATTGCTAATGAGGTTGTTTTTGTGTAGGTAATTGTTGTACATCCTGTTGCGGAAGTACATAAATGTTGGTCGACTGTTCACGAAACGCAAACTTGAATGAGCGGATAGCTGCCATACGAGCTTAAAACGCTCGCATCGTATGAAGACATGAAGTAGCTTGTTAGATTGACATTTTAGTTGCTTGAGCAATTGAACTAGATAAGATAAATGCTGACAGAACTGGAATACAATTTGTCCCTCACAAGTCATGGTACGTCGGTTTATGAATAACATGACGGAATTTAGGTGACAAGAACGTGACGAGGACTGCACGCGGCAACCGCAACGTCTTGCCTAATTATAACCAAAATGCCTTAAAGGTGAGTGAATTTAGTAAGGCAAGCATTTGTGGTGCAATTCATAATGGTAAGAGTTGGAATGAGGGGAGTCCTTTCATGCCTCAATTGGTGGTAGCTTCTTCGTACACAACCACACTCAATCAGGTATCGTGCACTTGAACAGCACTTGCACTAAGCAGAATGCGCACTAGTGGTCTAGTTGGATAAGAGAGGGGAGAAGGTGTAGTAACCTAGAGAATGCTATCGTTTGATTATTGCAGCGGCAAGTGAAACGTGGCAA